TTTCAGTTGGTAAATTACAGAGAACTGAACGATATTATTATTTAATAAAAATTCTTAAATGACAAACTCTTGATTGTACGTCTTTGAAACTAGAGTCAAGATCGGATTCTATTTCAACATTTTGCATTTATTATCAAATAATTGATATAATTTAGATTTTTAGAATAGTTTGGTTACCTGTTGKAAATTCGAAATTGAAATTCAGATGCATAAAGTTCAGCTGCAAATAGAGTTAAGAWACCAAATATGTAAAKGACTTTGCTTTAACTMAATTGATAAATATTTAATATAATATCGATAGAAGCTTGTTGCAATCTTTCGTTTGTTTTTCAACTAACAGTTCTTACTTTCTTTTAGCGTCGGTGTGGGTAGGAGCGCTACGCCGAAGAAGTGTGAGTCGAGTCTTGATGTTTTTTTTTGTTTCAATTTGCTTTTTTTTGATTGTGGCTGCAAATACGAAAATTGTTTACGTTTATTCTAGATACAAGCATGGATTTCATATTCATTTTGATAAAACCTTAATGAAAATTAAAATTTTATTAAATAATACTTATCGTATTTACATGTTTCAAATTTGAAGCGCCATGGAGATGAGAGATACTCCTCATTCGCGTCACGATCCGGACTCTAGAAGAAAGAAGAGGATTATTTGCATTGTGGTTGTCGTTTTAGCCATTGCCATAATAGTCATTGCGACTTTAGTAATAAATTTCTGTTACCCAAACCTTTTCAAGAGAAAGGACAAAGAAATAAAATATAGATACGAATAAATGGTAAATAGTTATGAAAGATATCTATATATAGATGATAAAAATTCATTTCTGTGGACTTTTCCAGTATTAGTGAATCATTCCGGACTGAAAAGGAAATAAAGAGAGCATATTGGTTTTGTGTCTTGGTCTTTCCCCTAAATAAAGATTTCACATTTTATGCTTCAGAGAACTGAACGAGGYTGTTATATAAATATTCATAAATAAAAAACTCATRATTAATTATAGTGCGGCCCATTAAAAGTCATTATCTCACCCTAATCTGTTGTCACAAAGCTTGAAAGCAAAAAGCGATAAAACAATAATAATAATTGCTCATAATGTGCAAAAGCAGCAAACTTTAGTCCTGGCTCGAGTTCGGTCAGGTCGTCGTTGTCAACGCCAGAGCCAGAG